ACCTAAGTGAAGTGCCAGTAAGTTGTTAGTCTTAACATCAGAACTGACGTTTTACTGTCTGTATAAGTAATCTGAGTTAATGTGAAGAAATTCGGACGCGGGTTTTTATCTCATTTACTTGGACTCTTAGTAGGAAACCCACAATTAGGTGTAATTTATGATTTGTTCAATTGTGTAAATAAATGATTGCATAATCTTTTATGAATCAATTTGAACTGTCTGAGTTCCCTCCTTGTGTCCCTTCACTTTGCACAGACAAATATTAAAGTAATGAGAAGAAACCTTGGTAAAATTTTACTCTCATAACCTAGTTATGGGAAGATGTAAGGTAAGTTATTTGCATAAATAACTCATCCCTACATAATGGTGGCACGTACGATTCCCATACAGGATCCCTGAATGGTGAACTCTATTTAAATATCTTTCTCATGAAAAAATATCTCTGTGCATTCTGAGGAAGTAAAATTATATTACCTTCTCATGTTTGGCAAGAAAATGTTGTATAAGACCTTTTCATGACTGAGGTGTCCAAATCATAGCAAAAGCTGCAGATTCTGTTGTCATTCTTGTCATTTTAAGTCGTAAAACAAGGTTTTAACATTGAAACTGATAAAACTAAGCATTTTACGGTTTATGAAGGTAATGACGTCACTTCCTGAAAAAGAAAATTGTAAGCTCAGCTCTTATAAATAGCAAAACGCTATTTCATCGATAAGATCTAAATCTGCGAACGCAGTTTCATCTTATTTTCGTATTTTCGCTAACATGTATGAGTTTTATCCACTCGTAAAGTGTTAAACGAAATACGGGGAAGAGTTTGAGTGTAACACATGCTAACGAGTTAGCTCCAACCACTTCCGGGACGAGATAACCAAACGGTTCGTCTCGAAAAACGGCGAAAAAAGTCATTTTCGGCGCCCTGAGCGACCTATTAAACTGCGATCTGTCGTTTGAACCGCGTCAGAGAATTTTGGGTGGCTTCAAACGCTGTTTCGGGCAGTTTAACAGCCGAGCCGCTAGGTCGGTCGAAATATTGAGGGTGAACACGGAACTTCCGGTCCGCCCCGTCAACTTAATGCTAAGCTGTATCGCTAGCATAGTGAGAAGCTATTGCTTGTCGATTTTTGAAACGCTGTGTTGTAAACTACGGTTTGAATACGGTAATTTAGTGTCAAAAGTGTTTCATTTGTTCCATTTGATGACTTTTNTGCTGACAGTTTGTGAAATTGTCAATCAGTGTTGCTTCCTAAGTGGACAGTTTGATTTCCTTGGAGTTAGATTGTGTTGTTTACGTGTTCCCTTTAATTTTTGGAACAGTATATTTTCAGCAATGACATGGTACAGCATTATGCAACTTCTCCATCCTATATCAAATCAGCTAAGGATTGTTCCAGCAGTCACATAAAGTTTGTTTATGTATAGAGTGTTATCCCAAAGACTGAAACATTTATGTTCAAAATGTGTTGCATAACATAAGAATACACTATTAAGC